ATAGATTTTTAGGAAAAACTGTTCATTTAGAATTAATTTCTTTTGTAATAAAAGTATTCTGCAGGAAAAAAATACATATACATAGAAAATCATGCAACTAGATATAGGCAATGATTAAGTTTGAACAGAAAAAAATAATTAAAGAGGTAAATGACAGAACATTTAATTATAGTACACTATGAGGCTCTGCAGTAAACAATGTTAAAATTCTCAATGAAATGCAACTATTTAACTAAAAATTTAGTATAAACTATATTGTCATGATGAGATAGAAGAGTAGTGAAAGTTGTGTTGGTGTAAGAGTTCATCAGATGCAATGAGTTCTCAAGAGATAATAGAACATGGATAGTAGGGAAAGCCTATAAGGAACTTGAGTATAAGTAGCAGCAGGAGAAGGATTTAATGTATACAAAAGTAGTGTCCTTGGGAAATAAGACTCTGAATACATTATAAAATTCTGTGAGTTCAAATACCACATAGTTTATAGTTTCCGAGATTTGTGCTTGCTTAAAAAGGGCTCTTCTGAAATTATTACAAAAATAATCTCATTTTATTATAATCCTTTCCTAGTTTATGACACTGGTAATATTATACTTGAGCTTCAACAGTCTTTTCTTATACCATTAGATTTTATTATATGAGTTATTTTTCAATTTTTTAAAATAAACTACATTCGCTTCCTTTAGAACCATTTTTAATTTCTTTTTATGGTCTGACACAAAATAACTTAGAATTACAGATTTTCTATTTCTCCGTTTCTTTCTCCAGGTTGTCAGTGGGGCTACTGAATAGCTTATGTAGGACAAATCTCTTTCCAGCATTACTTGTTTCCACAGACTGGTGCCTCATTGTGATAATTATAGTTCAAACTGGACTTAGTATTATTATTTCATAATAGAGTACATTCAACTATGAGCTATGTTCCTCTCTTAAATGGACTTTTATAAGGTCCAAATAAGAACATTCTTATATTCAATATAGAAATTGATTTCCTATTTAACCTTTCCAAGCCATGATTGTCAAAAATAATTATATGGGTCTGGTAGAGTTTCCTTTTGAAAAAAGTCTCTTTATTGTTTATTAATTTCTTTGATAAGTATAGTGAATAAAAGTATTAAGCACATCACAGAAAATTACTCTTTTTAACAGAACTGTATTCATTGAAAGTAGAAATTTTCATATGCTTCTGCATTAGTTATTTCTATAAAAAACATAAAATTTTGCCTTCACTTAAAGATAATAGAGACCATATATTTAGAGGTGATTTCAGAAAATAGTACCAACGTTGCAAAAACATATAATGTGGAGAAAAATGGAATATTTTTCCATTTATTTGTGCCATCTCTGGTTTTTTTTTTCAGCAGTGTTTTGTCGTTCTCCTTGTGGAGGTCTTTGACTCCTTAGTTAGATGGATTTCTAGGTAGTTCCTTTTTTCTGTGTGGCTGCTTTAATGGGATTGTGTTGTTGATCTGATTCTTGGTAGAAAATTATTGGTGGATAGAAATACTACTGAATTTTGCACATTGATTTTTTATCCTAAAACTTTACTGAAGTCATTTATTAGTTCTAGAATTCTTTCACTGAAGTTTTTAGGGTTTTCTAGGTACAGAATCATATCATCAGCAAAGAGAGATAACTTGACTTCCTCTTTCCCTATATGAATGTATTTTCTTTCTTTCTTTTGCCTGATTCCTCTGAGTATGACTTCCATCACAATGCTGAATAAAGGTGGTGACAGTAGGCATCCTTGTTTTATTCCAGTTCTCAAGGTGAATGGCCCAGCTTTGGTCCAGTCCGTATTATGTTGGCTGTGGGTTTGTCATAGGTGGCTCTTATTATTTTGAGGTATATTTCTTTGATGCCTCTTTTTCTGCTTCTGTTGAGGTGATCATATGACTTTGTTTTGATTCTGTTTATGTGGTGAATCACATTTATTGATTTGCATTTGTTGAACCAACCCTGTATCCCAGGAATAAAGCCTACTTTATTGTGGTAAATTAACTTTTTAATATGCTGCTAGATTCAGTTTTCTAGTACTTTGTTAAGAATTCATTCTACCAAAAAGACACAGGCACCTGCATGTTCACCAAAGCACCATTTTCAATATCAAAGACATGTAACAAACATAGATGCCCATCAGCAGTGGGTTGGATAAAGAAAATGTTGCACATATACACCAAGGAATACTACTCAACCATAAAAAAGAACAAAATCACGTTTCTTGCAGCAATATGGATAGAACTGGAGGCCATTATCCTAAGTGAATTAATGCAGGAACGGAAAACCAAATACTGCATGCTATCACTTACAGGTGATAGTTAAACATTGAGTATGCATGGACACAAAGATGGAAACAACAGACACTGTGTACTAGTCATGGGGGGTGTGCTGAAAAACTCCCTGTTGGGTACTATGCTCATTACCTGGGTAATGTGGTATCCATACCACAAACTTCAGCATCACAAAATATGCCCATATAACAACCCTGCACATGGACCCCTGAATCCAAAGTAAAAAAAAAATTATATGTGTTCTTTAGAAATAAATTATGTTAGCAAGATAAACATGTATTAAAAATAGAAATAATGGTTTTCGTGGATGTTACTCCAATGGTGTGATGTGCCCAAAGTTGAGTCATAGTAAGGAAAGTTGCACAATTACCAAGACAAGAATTCTGTGGAGATTAGTTCATTTCCCACATCAATAACAGGCGATCTTTTTATCACTAACAACATAGCACGGGTGAGGCAAGGCCAAGACACTGAAGGCCTTTGCATTTTGGAGGACAATGTGCTGTATATATATGTGTGTGTGTATATATATATGTATATATGTATGTATATGTGTATATATGTATGTATGTATATGTGTATATATGCATATATATATGTGTATATATATGTGTGTGTATATATATACAAACACATGTGTGTGTGTGTGTTAATTCTAAACTCATCTTTAAAGAATGTGTATCTGTTTCTCTTGGATATGGAGAAAATAGAGTATTTTCAGTATTTTGATTTAAATCAATATGAGTCTATACTGGGATCACGGAGGAGATGCCTCATTTGCCTACCATAATAGTTGAACTCTAGAATAGAAAAGAGAACATGATATAATGTGAGAGTATAAAAAACCCATTCCTCTTGGGTTCTGAGATTGTGAGAAAAGCAAACCTTTCAGAAAAGCACCCCAATTTCCTTTTTATGTGCTTTTATCTCGAGATTGGTTGCATGCCAGAAACCATAGAAGTCTAATGTTGAGGGATGGTGGTGGGGAGATTTGTTTTTCACTTGCATCTGGGATCTTGAGAGGAAGATGCCTCACCACTTGCCCCATACCCACTTGGGGAACAGCCACAGAAAAGCAGAGAAACATGGTCAGGCAAGAGGAACCCTAATATTTAGCTTCTCCAGACTCTATTTGGTTCTCATATAGAATTGTGACTGAGAAGAGAGCTTGACCTGGGGCCATCCTGAAGCCTCCACCTAAGTGAATTCCTCAGTCAGTTGGTTGGTAGGGGATATGACAGGGATAGAGGAGGGAGGCCATACCAGAGAGGGCTGAGATGGAGCCAGTTCAACAGGAGAAGTGCTAAGCAAAGAGAAGGAAGTTCACATTTCAGCATCAAAACCCAGAAAGAGTACCCAGTGACAAAATAGACTTCACTACTTCACAGCCTAGCAAACCCTAGCAAACACTGACCAGTGTGCACTTGAAGGTCCGACCTCTTTGCTCCCCAGTGTGGAGTTCCTATTAGTCATACAATTCCCCACGTTAGGGAGAGAAACAGGGAAAAAGTGAAGGCTCAGTGAATGACAAAGCCTTTTACAATGAGAGATTAGTTTATTGGATAAAAGTGATCTTTATTCAGTAATCAATTAGTAAGATTTCATTTTTTTAACTAACTAATGGCTGGTAGGGGAGAGATGAATAAAACCAGTATGTTATTGATTGAGCTAAGTTTTATAAGTTGCCTTCAGTTGAAAATAGCTATGAAAAATTATGTGTCTTTTTGTTCAAAATAACATTTTACATTAAAAACTAAACTTAAATATGAAGCAATAAACTATAATGTATACAAAAGTTTTAAGGAAATATTCACATGACCATAATTTTCTAATTTCTTTGTTCCTACCACTCAAAGGGAAACCACAGCTTTGTTTTGGCCTGATTTCTACCTAGATACTATGTTGCAATGCTGATGCCCTTCCATGATTTTACTGTAGAAATGTCTATCCAGACAAAAGGCAGAAGTCCTTTCAGTTTCTCAGCGATGCTTATAGTATTGTCTTAGCTTCAATCACAGGTTATCTGTTACTTTAAAATAAATATTCGCATAATTTAGAGTGCAAATCTTAGTTCGATCTTTCGGTCTCTTTAGAATACAAAACACTGACTCACCTGCTCACTTCTGTTTTATACAAGGAATTAGAAATTATTTATAAAATTGTATAAGAAATGTATTGTCACATCTCTAGAATGATCTAGAATGATTTATTTTTGTTAATACAGTCTGCCATCCCCACCACATAGACAAAAAACACATACATAAAACTTGACCAATTACTTAAACAAACCAGTGCTTTACTTAAAAGCAATGGTTCTCTTATCAATGACCCAGCAACTTGTATGGTTTTCAACTCACTTTTTCTTGCAGATATTATAACTCTTCAAGATTTTATGCAAAGAGTATTCTAAAAGCTCCTTTTGACTCTCAAAATATTTACACATCTTAGCATCAAAGTTGTTTTTAAATGATATCTAAGTGTCATTTAAATCCTTTGCCGGAACATGCAGTATCTGTTAGACAAAACTTAGTAGAAGTGAAGAAGCGCATTAATTTGTGTATTAGTGTCTGTAAGTTTTTTCATTAATATTCCCAGTTAATTAAAATAATCTGATATTTAGGAAAATATAAAAGAAGATAAGGATATAAAATAAAATGTCCTTATGTAAGGCCCCAATCTTTAATTAAGCGTATTTTGTGAAATAATTACCAGTTTGGTAAGTGCCTGAGTTCAGTCTGTAAATTTTCATTTCTTTCTTTCTGTTCATCCAGAGACCGCTGGAGCTTACGAATCCGATTCAAGGAATCATCAAGCTGAAAGCAAAGTAGAAAATGCTTTAGTTAGGCTCATATTACTGTAGTCTATCATGGTGGCTACAGTAAATAACATTTTATCATATACTTAAAACTCGCTAAGAGAATGGATTGCAAGTATTCTCACCACAAAACTAAAAGTGAGATAGTGCATATATTAAGTAGCTTGATTAGCTATTCTACAATATACACACATAGCAAAACATCATGTTGTATATCATAAATATGTACAACATTTACTTATCAATTTAAAAATAAAATTTAAATTAAAAAAACCATGATGACTCATTATATATAGGACACAGTTTTCTATCTCCATCTTAATGAGAAATGCCCTTAATGAAAAAAAAGTTGAAATAAAATAACCATTTAAAAACAAAGTATATTTTTGTGTGACAGTAACTTATCAGAAATGTATGTGTGTTTCTTTTGTATATGTGCATGAATAAATAAAAATATCCATTTATTTTAATAATAGATTCAATGTACATATCTGATGAAACAAACCTCAAAATGAGCTCTGAAATATTTGACATAAATCTTTTCTATGTAGCCGCTCTTTCCTATTTCCACCCTTGCCTTCTCTAGCTATAAGTTACTGAAGTATAACTTGCTTTTTGTTCCCATGGCTTTGAAATAAATACACGTGTGTATACATATTCACATATATATATGTTAAGTACACATATACATGTGAAATACATTTTTATGTATTATTGAAAATACATTATTTTCTTTTAATTGCTTTAATTAAAATGTATATCATGCTGTATGTAATACTCTTCTTTTTTAAATCCATTGGCTAAGACTCATCTGTAGTAGTAATATCTCATCTGTGCTCTATTTATTCTCTCTGCTTTGTATTATAGGACTGCATTAATATGCCATGACATATACATCTACCCTCCTTTCCATGAGTATTTACATTGTCTCCAGCCTGGTGATGCTCTGAGCATTCATGTATACTGGGGTCTCTTAGTATTCATAGGAGATTTGTTCCAAGACCTTCTGCAGATTTCAAAATCCACATATACTCAAGTCCCTAATATAAAATGGGATAGTATTTACTGATAACCTATGCTCAATTTCCTCTATATTTTAAATTATCTCTAGATTATTTATAATATTTAGTATAATATATAATATATATAAATACCATACAACTAGTTGTTACATTGTACTGTTTAGGGAATAATGACAAAACCTGTATATGTTCAATACAGATGCAATTTAAAAAAATATTTTTGTTTTGTGGTTAGTTGGTTGATTCCACAATGGATATGGAGGGCCAACTGTATAGATACATAGTAATGCACCACATAATGACTTCCTGGTTAATAATGGATGCATATAAGGAAGTGGTCCCATAAGATTGGAATGGAGCTATATATGGAGTAGGCTATACCATCTATACCATCTAACTCTATGACATTCACACAAAGACAAAATTACCTAATGATTCATTTTTCAGATTATATTCCTATTGTTGACACACACGCACATGCACACACACACACACATAAATAACAGATGATAGATAGATATAGATGTGATTCATCTGTGAAAAATTTTCTCTAGAGACATGCCTAGGAGTAGAATCACCAGAAAACACTTTTTGTAATACTAAATTTCACAAGATAATACCAAAATATCTCCAAAAATTGTTTACTAATTTAACTCAATAAAACAATTAGAAAGGATCCAGTTTAATCACACTTTCATTAACACTCGATGTGACATTTGAAATCCCTGATCAACAATTATGTATAGTATCTCTTTATATTTTTAATAGATTAATATTTTATTTTGTGTGTTTAGCCAGGCCTCTTGCTCATTATTCTATTTTGACATTTGTCCATTTCTTTTTTTCTACGTATATTAATCTTATAATGTTAATACTACTCTTTTGTCAGTCATAAGTTTCCCAAGTATTTTTGCCAGGTTTGCAATGTTTTTTTCTAATTTAAGAGATCTTTGGTTTAATCACAGTTATTTTTATTAATTTATGAAATCTATCAATATTTTCTCTTACAGTTGGGACTTGTACTCCAACTTTAGAAAAATATTATTCTGTATTTTCACTATTTGTTCATGTTTTATACTTATTTATATTTTTGATCGAGTTGGAGTTAATTTTACACATGACATGAGGTAGAAATTCAATTTTATTTTTTTCATATACAAGCACATTTTGAAAGGTACATAAGTGCCAATATTGAATAGACTTTTCTCAATTGATCTGATATATCAAATCTGTCATATGTCAAAATTCCGTATATTTGATGTACAAAGTTTCTTTCATAAAGTCTGATAGCAGACCCTTCTTTGGATAATTTATTTGGTCCTGCACATTGTCTGAATTACTGTAGTTTTTTGACATACAAGAGTAAAAGCTCCCTTTTCCCAGTCATTTTTCATCAGAAATACCTTGATTATTCTTGAGTCTTTATAAATTTCAAAAACAGCATATCAAATTTCATGAAGAACTGTATTTGTATTTAACCTGGACATTCATCAATTCTATGGGATAATTTAAGTATATTTAACATTATTTCAATATTTAGTGCTTTTGTCCAATACCCAGAGTATTTTAAATTTTACTTAGGTCATCCTTAAAGTTTCTCAACTCAATATTATAATTTTCTCAGAAGCTTTGGAAAGCATCTTCTCAGGAGTTTAAATTTTATTAAATTTAGTTTCAGAAATTTTATATCTTATGGTATTAAAAGTAATATTTTAAAATTGTTTTTCCAAAAAAATGAAATAAAATATTTCATAAGTTTTGTTTCATGTGAATAGTAAGTAAATTGTCTTATTGGGCCAGGAAAATGGGCTCATATCTGTAATCTCAGCACTTTGGGAAGCTGAGGCAGAAGGATTACTTGAGGCCAGAAGTTCAAGACCAGCCTAGACAACATAGTGAGACCCCATTTTTTAAAAGAAAAATTAAAAATAGCCAGGCCTGGTGGCACTTGCCTGTAGTCCCAGCTACTGGGCAGGCTGAGGCAGGAAAATGGCTTGGGCCCAGGAGTTCAGGATTATGGTGAGCTATGACTATAGTACTGTATACCAGCCTGAGTCACAGAGCAAGACCCTGTCTCTAAAATAAGTAAATAAATAGTCTTATTAACTGAACATTTATTTTACTAAGACTTAACATTCAGCTAAACATTCTTTGGTTTTCTGAAAACAGTCTTTTTCCTCTTTGAAATAAGGTAATTATTTTAAAATAAGCTCAATTTTATTTTGAAATGTATCTTTAAGTTTTGAATCAATTAGGGTTCATACTACAGTTTTCCCATGTGTGTCCTACAGCAAGTTTCATATCCACAGAGAGTCTAATAGTCCCAATCTTTAAAATGGTTGTACTTATAGACTTGTTATGAAGATGGAAATAGATAATGCTTACAGATTGCATTATGTGGTACTAGATATGAAGTATTTAGCCTAAGTTATCTAATCTAAACTTGTTTTATTAGAAGGACAGTGAAAATTAATGTAAAATGTAATCATGGGTACTGCTATTGTAAGTGATTCTTGGCTACCCAGTGAAGGCACTCTCATGACTAGGAAAGTTAACATTATGAGCACTTAGTATCTAAAGTGCGGAAGTCATCTTAAAAGCAGAATATCTCACAAGCAAAAATAGAAAAAGCAACACTTAATCTAAAGTGATGAATAAAATGAAGCAGAAATGATAGATTCAGAAGGTTTCAGAACTTTTCAACAAGGGTAATAAGCATGAGTATCTCATCTTATTGAAGTGCTATTTTGTCCTACATACAAACCAAATGAAATTATATGCAAATATTGTGACTTGAATTAGCATGAATCTGTCTGTAATTTGCTCCTTCATCTCTTCGCTCAGAGACAATATCAAGGTTTTAGAGATGCAAATTTAAGCCCAGGTGAGGTGGCTCACGCCTGTAATCTCAACATTTTGGGAGCCAAGGCTGGCAGATCACTTGAGGTCAGGAGTTTGTGACCAGCCTAGCCAACATGGTGAAAGCCCGTCTCTACTAAAAATACAAAAATTAGCCGGGCATGGTGGCAGGCACCTTAATCCCAGCTACTCTGGAGGCTGAGGCAGGAGAATCACCTGAACCTGGAAGGTGGAGGTTGCAGTGAGCAGAGATTGAGCCACTACACTCCAGCCTGGGCGACAGAGTGAGACTCTCTAAGAAAAAAAAAAAAAGAAAAGAAAAGAAAAAAAAAAAAGAAAGATATGCAATGCAGTGCAAATTTAAGCAATGGACCCTGACATACTGTGAAAACGCTGAGAGTTCCTGAACTGCTCTTTTTAGGAAAAAAAAAAATCAACAACCAAAAGTATCTTCCTCAATTACTTTTAATTGTGTTTTTCCAGGTTAACCAATCAAATATGTTAAGAAGTGTTTTAGTTGCTAAGTGGCCAAGTTGTTTTCTTCTTAGCCTTACTGGGGCTTCCATGGGGTAGGTTTGTGTGGTTTTATTCTCTCCTCCTTCTCACAGAAATTTTCTGCTTTATTGTTCCAATTGAATATTTTACAATTTTAGGAAAACTTCTACACATGTGCAGCTTCGAGACAAAAAATCTTTTGTAGATTGCTGACCCTTAGCACTATAGAATAATTTTAGTATTTATTCAAATTGCAAGAAAAATCAATCCTCTATATACGAAGTCAAACCACTGCTAAAGATGAACCAGATCCCGACTGACTGATCTCTATACTAGCGTTATTAAAACGAAATCAATTTAAATGTTAGAAAGCTTTAAGTTGTTAGTCTTTCCAAGGGCTGTGGGGGAGGGAAGATTTTTTTTTTTTAGTACCCTCGTGGAGAAATGCTATTCTGCAAACTCTTCTCATCAATTATTTATGCTTACAGAATGAACATTTTGTAAATGTATATCATAATGAACTCCCAAATAGTATTTAGTCTTATTTCTGAATTTCAGACATTTAGACATTTTCTGGCAATACCTACATTTTGTTGATATCTATAATTCCCAATTCGTAGAG